CTTGTCTGGCGATGCAGTGGAGTTGGCGTGCTTAAGGAGGGTTTGACAAGACTAATCTATTTGATAGACTAACTTGTGACAATCTTGTTAAGTAAAGATACTAGTAAGAAAGTACAATTTGAGTTGACCACAACGAGAGTAATAATGAAATCCATCCATCCTTATATCCTCATTGCTTCCAGTCCTGCCATCCCGTCCATCCCATTTTCTTGCTCCTTGGCGGGATGTCTGTGATGGCATGCCATCCCTAATCCCATTGCCATCCCATGCTTGGCGGGATGTCTTGTCTTGGCGGGATGGCACATCACGTGACCCCAGGCCCCGCGATGATCATTACCTTCTGACGTGGACGTCCATAAGCCTTCAGCCATCTCGTCATTTGTCAAGGAGAGGATCCTTCTTGTTACTTGTAACACAATCCCAGAGCCGGATCGGAGGTAGTACTCGCCGCCCTCTTCATCAACCACTCGTTGTGAGGTCGGATCCGATTCGGATCCGACTAAGATAAGTATATAAGGAGACACTCCCTGTAGCTAGCTCTGTAGACTTTTAATATCCTTTCGTACAAGGCCTATAGGTGTCTATTCGAATTAAGGCTCGTTTGATGTCCCACGCACTCCCATATGCCTCTGAGTGACACTACCGCCGATACTAATCCGAGTAGTCTTGCCTGCGCCGTTACATTATATCAAAAGTCTCGTCCCAGCCGGTGACGGCTTTAAAACAATATCGCAACTGTCTGTTCAGACTACGTCTAACCTTAAGTTATCCGGCACCGATCCAGATACTTACACCGTCACATCTAACATTCACCTAGGCAGGATCCCACTAATCTCCTGCCGGCCGAAGCCTTTAGGTTTGGAACTTCTGCGCTCCTCGCGAGGTAGATTACTTCAGTAAAAGTCGCGTAGAGTGCGCCACGGTAGAGACTCAGAGACTACTAATAACCCATCAACCTCAGAGGCAATCGCTGATAGTTGACCCACCAAAACCTAGTAGTTCTAAGGAACCACCTCAGAAATCAGTCCGACTCCAGGACTAAACCGTCTCGGAGAAGAAAGCTGGTAAGCTACCAACCTAGGAATCTCCAGAGACTTCATCCCTACGAGAAGAAGAAGAAGACGAAGACGAGGAGGATTCGGTACCAGTACTAACTATAAGAGACCTCCATAGGCAGATGGCTAGCTTGGTTAACTAAGTCCACCGACTGACCTAAGAAAACGCCGAGCTGCGGAGTAACGTAGTTCTTACCACCGAATCCCCACCGATATCGGCCGAACTACCTTCCCGCTAATTACTAAGGTACACTTCTGCCACCCCCGAGCCTCCACGTGTCAAACTAAGCCGTCTTATCTTATCCTCTATCAGCCAATTGAGTGATGGGAAAGATCCCACCTTTCCCCAGTGGTAAGCCGAAGTGGAAGACTGACTTGACCTAAACTCGGACCACTTCCCTACGGAACGCCACTGGATGGCTATAGTGTATAGCCACACGTCGGGTGATGCCAAGGGATACCTCGAACCTAAGTACCTATCGAAGACGGAAGGGTACTGGTTTAAGAATGCGGAGGAAATGATCGAGCTGCTTAGATCATACTTCGTAACTGGCAATGAGTAGGCGGAGAGCCAAGCCGCTTTCTATAATCTGCTTATGAAAGATAGAGAGCCGTTTTCAGAGTTTAAAGCTCGTTTTATTAGTCTCGCTATTAAAGGACATGTATCGGAACTGGAGTGGCCCTTCTATCTCTGGCAGAAGATTAGCCCAGCTTTGCGAGTTCCTAATATGGCTGTTAAGCGTTTCTTTGACAGCTCCTTCGATGAGATATGTAAACATCTTACTGCTTTCGAATTAGAACGACGATTAGCTCCTATCGTAGTATAATCAGAGCGACGGACTACCTATACTTTAACTGCGAAGCCTAAGTTAGCTATCTATTAGACAAGAGAGTATCGCCCACCTACGCACGAAGTAAGGTCCGACCCCGCTCCGACCCCACCTCGGGCTTTCTCGAGTGTGCCTAGGCCTGCCTCTAAGACACTAGTACCAGAACGCTAAACTACTCCTGGTAACTGCTACTAATACGGTAAGCTCAGACACTTTGCGAGCGACTGCACAGTCTCTTAGGTAAGAGAGATAGAAGCTTTCTAAGAAGAAGAGGTGTTTGAGGAAGCTGTAGAATACCAGTCGGATAAGGACTAGTCAGGAAACGACGAAGCCTAGGAAAATGCTCCGCCCTAGGCATTCATAAGTATGACCTTGCTAAGATTGATCTATTATACTTGTTTGGAGGAAAGCACTTCTAAGTCCCTACTATTCTTTATTCAAAGGGTTATGGTGTTAGCCTGCAGTCGCTGGTTAATACTAGCGCCTAAAGGTTCTTATTTTTGAATTCTGCAATTGCTCGTACAATCTCTAGTTCGCTTTAGATTCCTATCTAAAGACTTCCCTTTAAGATTATAGTTAAAGGATTTCAAGATCAGGTTCAGACGAGGGTTAATTAATATATCCGGTTGCACCTCTCTATTAATAGCCGTAAGATCTATAACTGCCCATTCGTTATTATAGATTTAGGATCACAGGATTGTATTATTGGTATTAAGTGGCTACGCCGATTCTAGCTTCAATTAGATACGGTTCGGAACCGAATCGTATGGCCAGCCAAATACCTAGCAATATATAATCCTGCCCCACCTATTCTAGTATAGTTAAAATAACCAGCTGTTGACACCGAGGTTGCGAAGGATATCGAGAGACGCAACGCTCTCTGGGAGAAGGACGACTATCGGAGAAGAAACAGTCCAACCACGGCCAGTATTCAACGGATCCGTGGCCTTCTTCGACTCCCCAAAGCCCGTTCTCTACCTCCAGCACCCGACCCTGCTCCGAAACCTATCCGACCTGCACCCTCTTCCCCTCCTTCACCCCGCATCTCACTTATCTCTGCCAACGCCTTCCACTACACCATGAAACGCAAGGAAAACGAGTTCTTCACGACAAGCATCTATGAGATCGATCGTATCCTAGAAGAGAGACGACTAAAGGATGATCCTGAAAATGCTAAGTTAGTTCAGGACCGACTCCCATCCGTCTACTACTCGTACCGAGACGTGTTCAGCAAGACTGCCGCTGATCAGCTACCTGAACACCGCCCGTACGACCACAAGATC